TATTTCAGTACTTGCACACAAAAAGAGCACTCATTAGCTCTTCAGTGGTTCAAATGAATATGGACATTTATCCTTTTATAATGAGCTAAAAGAATCTTGTGAATTAGGAAACGTAATTTTATGTATTTAACGACTCCAGTTGGGATCGCCTCTGTGCTCTGGTGGGTAGAGAGTCTGAGAAGAATGAGTCGGGGGTTCTATTCCCGATCGCGTCACAACAAAAGGCATTGCAAAATGGCGCTTGATGTTCCCCTGCCTGGTTCTTGGCAAGAAGGGTTAGTCGGTTCTGAAAGAGCATTCTGTGTCTGATTTATGTGCCCAAGTTAAACTGCTGCACGGTATCTCAGTGGGTTAAACACTGTGAAACTAGGATCGGCCAGAACTAGTGTGCGCACACTCATCTCTCTCTCTCACACACACACACACACACACACACACACACACACACACACACACACACACACACAAATAAGGCACTTCGTTATGAAATCCTGAATGTGACGTTCAAACCAAATGTCACATCTCACCCGTCAAGAGAAACCATATGATTCATGTGCTTGATATACTCTTTACAAACCAAATTGCGTCATGTGCTGGAAATACTCTTTACAAACCATATGTTTCATGTGCTAGAAATAATCTTTACAAACGTTATGGCTTCATGTGCTCGGGACACCCTTTAGAACCAATATGCCCTATGTACATGAAACAAACTTAAAAAACAATTTGCTTCATGTGCAAGAATTACTCTTTAGAAACAATTCGCTTCATATGCTAGAACGACATGCTTCCTGTGCTAGAGACACCCTTTAGAAACAATATGCTTTATAGACATGAAACAACCAAAAGAAACAACATGCTTCATGTGCTCGAGACACCCTTTAGAAACAATACGCTTTCATATGCTAGAAACAACCAAGAGAAACAATACGCTTTATGTACATCAAACACTGCAAATTTCCTAATTTCCCTGAAATGATTCCACTTTATATGTATATGTAAAATTCGCTGCTCTGCTCGCTGGTATCCAAGTCACCTATTCACCATGCTTGTGTATATGCCATATTTAGGTATGGCAGTAAACCAGCATGTTGACGTTCCGTCTGAGTACAATGTGACCATTGTTCCCACTGTGTACACTTCCCACCACTGATGGAGCTATATGGGGATCGAGGACACCTTACATGGGTTCGTTTTGCAGCCATGATCCATTTTCTTTCGGAACTGAAGACCAGACACCAGAGTACACAACCATGTACATACATCTTTATGCCCCAAGGCGTCCATCACAGTTGCTATTGACATAGTCAGTCGGACTGAACTTCAACTTGGCCGTATCCTCCTTCATAAATATATATATTTATTTTTTTCTGAGGGTATTCTGTTATGGAGGCATTGTTCAACACAACACAGGTATGAGAAACCTGTTTGTACGATATAATAGAGACATTGTAAACACGGACAGGTTTCAATTCAGCAATTTGATGTAAGCATGAACAGAATGTCGATGGTGTTTTGGTGTTTGCTTCAACTGATGATGTGAGTATTAATCACTCCAGGCTTAGTGTTAAGCAGTGTTGTTACTGTGTTGTTATACATCACGGTGTGTTGTTTCCCTTTATAGATTTATTGCTGTCATATTCTGACATTATATCTAATAGTGTGGTGTATTAAAGAGTATTGTAAGAATGTGCATTATTCATATGCTCGGATTATGTAAAGTCTGGCGGGTTAGTATTCATTGAACACAGAATTGTTGTTTACGAAGTGTGTCATTATTGTTTATGCATAGTTTAGGATATATGTCAGAGTCGGATACTTTATTATGAATGTTTTAGTTTTTTTGGTTCCAGAGTCTGGCTGCATTCTTTGTGGTTTATGGTTTAAATGCTTTAGCAAGCTGTTACATTGTGAATGATTTATTGGATATTTCATTATTCAAGGATTAGGATTATTTTATAGAAGGTGTTTTACTAAAGTTCATAGTTTATTTCAAGTTTTATCATGCATGGTTTACAACGTAATTGTAATAGCATTGTCTTGTGATAATGGGTGTTTTATATTTTCCAGAGTGTTGATTAATTATGCATTATTTTATGTGTACATGTTCCAGGATGGCGTTGTGACATGTGCGGTTGTGGGGTTTATATGCTTCAGAGGCATTTTATGAATGGTGTAAGTTTCACGTGCTGTGTTTTTTCTGTCTGTTGTATTATGCCCAGTTTATACATCGCAAGGTGTTGTTTCGGCGTTTATGATTAAGGATTAAGTACATGTTTTGTTATGGCTTAGAGTTTAAGTTCAAGAGTGTTGGGTTTCTTTTGTACGAATGGGTTTAGAGCTTATGTGTTTACACAGTATTGTTTTATTATGAATCGTTTCAAGTATACTAGTATATATTCAAGAGTGTTGATCTATTATTGATGGTTTATGGTATACATTTGAAAGTGTTGTTTCATTACGGTCAGTTCTGTTATATTGCGCATTCATGTACATTGTTTGGTTCTTTGGTTTATGTGTTACCGAGTGTTGTTTTATATTACATGGTTTAAGGTGTATATGTTCCAGAGTGTTGTTTTATATTGCATGGTTTAAGGTGTATATTTTCCAGAGTGTTGTTTCAGATTGCATGGTTTAAGGTGTATATGTTCCAGAGTGTTGTGTTATAATTACATGGTTTAAGGTGTATATGTTCGAGGGTGTTGTTTTATATTTCATGATTTAAGGTGTATATGTTCCAGAGTGTTGTTTTTTATTTCATGGTTTAAGGTGTATATGTTCCAGAGCGTTGTTTTATATTTCATGGTTTAAGGTGTATATGTTCCAGAACGTTGTTTTTGTTTTATATTTCATGGTTTAAGGTGTATATGTTCCAGAGTGTTGTTTTATATTTCATGGTTTAAGGTGTATATGTTCCAGAGCGTTGTTTTATATTTCATGGTTTAAGGTGTATATGTTCCAGAGTGTTGTTTTATATTTCATGGTTTAAGGTGTACATTGTTTGGTTGTTTGGTTTATGTGTTACCGAGTGTTGTTTTATATTACATGGTTTAAGGTGTATATCTTCCAGAGTGTTGTTTTATATTTCATGGTTTAAGGTGTATATGTTCCAGAGTGTTGTGTTATAACTACATGGTTTAAGGTGTACATGTTCCAGAGTGTTGTGTTATAACTACATGGTTTAAGGTGTATATGTTCCAGAGTGTTGTTTTATATTGCATGGTTTAAGGTGTATATGTTCCAGAGTGTTGTTTTATATTGCATGGTTTAAGGTGTATATGTTCCAGAGTGTTGTTTTATATTGCATGGTTTAAGGTGTATATGTTCCAGAGTGTTGTTTCATATTGCATGGTTTAAGGTGTATATGTTCCAGAGTGTTGTTTCATATTGCATGGTTTAAGGTGTATATGTTCCAGAGTGTTGTTTCATATTGCATGGTTTAAGGTGTATATGTTCCAGAGCGTTGTTTTACTATGCATGTTGTACATGCAATATAGTGTTGATGTATTGTTCAGTTCTCAGTGTATATCTTACAGTGTATTATCATTCATGGTTAAGTGCTACACTGTATTGGTGTGGACTTGTTTTGAGAAAATACATCATTTTGAAGTAAATGTTATGGGTGTGTCTGTATACAACATGGTATGGTTATAGCTATGATGTCAAATCGGTATGTTCAATCAGCTGACTGTATTGGATTTATGCGATGTAGTATCGTATTTTGTATGAGTTGAAACCCGCCGTTTGTGGCATACAGCTGACTATTGTTTACACAATATACATTGAAAATGGGCTTGACCTTGACCGTGGCCTTGAACAGTCCATGACAGCCAGTGCTGACGTTTTCATCTAATTATCATCACATAAATGTCGCTGGTTTATTTGATATAGATGATTCCTGTTCTTGTCCCTAGGGCATGAGCGTTACATTACATTACATTACATTACATATACATGGTTTACATGAGTGAAACAAACCTGGTGTTATTGTCTCTGCACATAGGATACACAAGGAAGTCAAGATGTCGGTGCCTGACATCAGAATAATGAAATAGAGTTATAACGATTCAAGTGATAATGACCATGGTCACAGATCGCGAACCATCAGACACAAATTAGGCACACACATTACGATGTAAACATCAGGTCAATATCAGACAAACCATAACGTAAACATGCAAACAATTTATGAACATTACGCCAATATCAGGCAATCATCAGGCATACATAAGGTCAGTCAACATCAGACACACATAAGGCCAGCCAACATTAGACACACACAAGGTCAGTCAACATCAGACACACACAAGGTCAGCCAACATCAGACACACACAAGGTCAGCCAACATCAGATACACATAAGGTCAGCCAACATCAGGCACACATAAGGTCAGCCAACATCAGATACACATACGGCTAGCCAACATCAGACACACATAGGGCCAGCCAACATCAGACACAAATAAGGTCAGCCAACATCAGACACACATAAGGTCAGCCAACATCAGACACACATAAGGCAAGCCAACACCAAATACCAGGCCAACGTCAGTCATTATCAGAAAAACAGCAAGTCAACATCAATTCAACATCAATTCAACACCTGTTAACATCAGACAATATTAAACATCACACACATCAGAGCCAACATCAGACAAGTATCCGGTTAACATCAGAAAAGTATGTATTAGACAAACATCAGACAAACATCACGTTGTCATCGGACAAACATCTGTCAATCATCAGCCATCAAGCCAACATGACTTTACCAGTCTGTCCATCATCAGTTCAACATGCGTTCAATAATATCAAACCTTAGTCAAACATCTGTCAAAAATCAGTCAAACATCAATCCAGCGTGAACAATCCAGACTGTACCACCAATTTAAACCAACTTTCAGGTTATTTCAAGCCTGCCAGATCAAGGTGTGAAAACATGCCATCAATCAAGATTCAAACCTTGACCAGTGGACCCGAGGAAATATGAAACATTGGTCTTACCTTGACGTGCTTCTCCCTCATATCCGTCATGTATCCCATGACGGGTATTCCCAGGTATTCTGCGATGTTATTAATGGAGTGAATCGTACTCGCATTGCCAAACACCAAGAACAAATGGATGCTTTTCTGTTCCAGCATACTGCAGGTCAGACTAATGGTGTCACGCAGACCCATCTGGGCGGTCACAGCGTCACCGAATATGTGGATCTTTTTACTGGAGTTATTGAAGTCGTCGACGGCTGCATAAAACACCTTCTTGAAGTTGTCGTACTCAACCGTATCGAAGACGGCACCTATGTTGATTACTGGTAGCTGTGGCCCACTGAACGCTGAGGTGACCGACCAGATGCTGCACACTATGATCCAATGCATTGTCCTCCAAACCGATGGAAACACGTAAGCATAGCTTGTCTTGATTGCACGTTCCTCTTACACCCCACGGCGTGCCCCCTGATGTCTACAACCGGGTGGACGACATGCAACTACTTCATTGTACAACTACACCGTCTATTCATGAGAAGGGCTGCTGCCTCGATAGGGCATGCATATTCGGCGATTTGGAGCGGTGACAATCACATCACGCTAGCTCACAATACACAAAGTAGGAGGTGAAAAGCTGATAATCCGTAGGTAAATCTATCCATTGTAACTGCTCGCGTCCACTTGCCATTTCATATACATGTAGCCGATAGTGGCAAACTGCAAAGACCTCTCCGCACTATCGCGTGGACAGCGGTATCGCTGCTTGAGAAATGTCAAGACTAGCAAGACAGCCTTCAGCGCTCCCATATCCAGAAAGAGCGGAGGCAATATCCTTCAGGAAATCTAGGCCACATCATTCCATCCTAGAGAGTGCTGAGATGTTGTGACACGCTCCCTAGGTAGAGGTTGTTTCCCTGGAGGTTCGTCTTGTCCCTCTACTCCCCCGGGGCTTCTACGTCATCACCGTGGCGGCCGTCTGACCAACGGTTCCCCACCGACTCGGACTGACTCTCCTGTACACAACTGAATGCATTATCGGAACACTTAGCCACAGTAGCCACACAGAGGTAAAACCTCCATCACACGCTCTTCAATTTACCCCTATCAAGCAGCCAATAAAATCGCTCCCCCGCACGTTCACAACTGATCTTGTGAACAAGTCCACACGTTAAGCTAGTTTTTCCATTGGCTCTAATTGCGATGTGTGACTATTCCGATCTTTTTTGTCATTCCCCGCATCTAGTGGTGGTACGATGGCATCTCTGGTTTTAGGGCTGATCCGATGTGTTTTGGAGTTAATTTAAGATGTCCAGTGGTATCGGTAGCTCACACAACGGAAACGGCAATCTATTACCCGCCGTCCCTCCGTCTGACTGGTTGCAGCAGCAGTGGCTCCATCTAGCGCTGACAACGGAGCAACACTAGCGAGAACTCCCCGATCAGCGACCGCCGTTCTCCCTACTAGAAGGCAAATCAATGCTTTACTCCACAGCCTGAGTGGGGAGAGATAATCTCAAAACGTCTCACAATGACGTCCGCCCGAATCTGCCGCGCTTCATGGTAAGTCCATTCGCAGATACGAGAATGTAGCGGGAACTATTTAAACATTTAGTGTTTCGTCTGTCTCCAGCAAACTCCCGCCATCCACTGCAAAAGGGACCACGCAAGGTACCCTGGGTAATCGGTTTAAATGGACTAGTGTCAATGGTGACCAGATGGCGGATCAGGTGGACCAGTCAGCACGTGGTCCAGTGACAGGTGGGCTAAGACCACCCTCTGATGACCTTGGACTATGCATTGTTAAAAACGTTTAAACATTGTAAGCGCATTGTGATAGGTGAAACCAGTCAACAGATTTACTGATCATTTGCACTCAGCACCATATCAAATTACACCAATATGTCACGCATAAGGTCAATATGATTCACAACGTGTTTTATCATACATATAGGTTTTTTTCATATGCAATGTGGCATTTGTCGATCTCATCAGTCAGAGGACATAAAACACGTGTATTTCCAGTGACAGAGGCATACATCATGTACACATCTGTAATGGTCCTGAGGCTGCCAGTGATGAAGCAACTCTATCAGCTGTAGAATATTCAATTCCACCTCGTCTCCACCATTCAACAGTTTGTATTCTGTGGAGTTGCGAGGTGCACATCTGCTGTGTTGCCTGGTGTTGTTGATTCATCTGGCGGGTCACGCCCGGATACCTCCCATGTTATCGATTTGAATATCACTGGCCCTGTCCAAAGTCTGCTGCATCATGAACAATGATATGTATGCTTGCCTAGAACAACCTTGATGTATGGATGATTATGATACATTCACAATGCTGATGGTCTGCGGCATGTGTAATGTCATTAGCGTGTATTTCTGTAACAGTTCGTGAATTTAATATACGTTATCGTACTGCATGTTGAACAAAGTTTTGGATGTGTATAGGTTCCATGTACAGAACAATCTCGATTGTACAAAGTTTTGGATGTGTATAGGTTCCATGTACAGAACAATCTCGATTGTACAAACTATTGGATGTGTATAAGTTCCCTGTACAGAACATTCTCGATTGTGTGACACAATGGACAATCAGTGAATACAAGGATTTATGTTTTAAATGTCTGTAACGGATGTGTTGTTCGATATGCTATGATGAAATGAAATCCGTGAGATAAATATCCTGGCCATGTAATACCCAAACAACATGGTGCTTGTTGTCGCCCTGCCTGGCGTGGGCAATACTTGAATGGTTGACCTGTGTGTATGCTGTGTTTGGCTGTGTGGGGAATTCATGTTAAACTGTCGCATTATGTTTCAGTGTCCGGTCGCTGGTCTATCCGGACTAAAAACAAGCAGGCACACACATGTATCACTATATAAGAAAGCCATGAACGTTGGACCCTAACCGCGGTTTGTCCAATGATATCAAACGGACAGTAAGACGCATAGATACCACATGTTTGAGGATTAATGGAACTGGAATACCCACTGCAAGGCGATGGGTACCGTGAGGGGGGCTGGCTATACCCAGAGTTCAGCAGATACCCCATGCTTTACCTGTATAGATTCACCTTGTCATTTGATAACGATTCGCGTGAACGCACCACTCAATACATTGTGCACAAGTGAAATATGACACTTTGGCCAGGGTTAGGAATGATGCAAACGTTACGAGAATCAGGTTGATGAGGTAATCCCGACTGTCTCATAATGCAGATTGCGAGGGTCAGGTGAACAATTAATAATACACGTTAAGTTTGCTCATTATAATGCTCCACGTAGATTTTAGGATGAAGTTGGTCCGTCCTTCCTCGTATTGATGTAAACAAATATTCTTTAAAAAACTATAAGAGTTAGAGAACTCAAATTATACACACATACTAAAGGTCACTAACTTAAATGAAGTCTCAAATTCATGTTATCAGAGTTATAGCCCTTGCCCCATGCTTCTCAACTGTGTTGATACTGCGTGAAATGGGATCAAGATATATAAAAAACTAATGACGTTACATATATGAAAGTTTGCACGCATTTTGTAAAGAAACCTGACACGACAGAGTTTAACGATAGATGCCGCATTTACACAGTTTTATTCAGGTATTTCCTTGATCTGTGTTAATTTTCTTGATATACATTCTCTTCAATGGCGACTGAAGTACAGAAGATACATGAATAAAACTTTGCAGGCTTATCTAGAAGATACATTAATGAAGACTGAGTAACGAAACTGGGGATTAGTTTTGTAAGAGTTACGTAGTGTGCTAAAGATGTGTAACTCGTTTGCATCTTGTCATGACTGGGGACAAGTTTCTTGATATACTACAAGCCAGCTTGCAGGCTTACAAGAGAACATTTTATAAGTTACTTGATCAATGTATATCTTGACTTAGAGTATAATGGCCGAGAGCACATCAAATACATGAAGAAGCAAAATTCTTATGTGTCTAGTGGCGGGTTTTCTCGTTAAGTGTGGTTCTGTTCTGTTTATGTAACCGTGTGCCAACAAGAAACATGTTCCTTGTGAATCTGCCATAGTGTTTCACATTTATTGTGTTTATTTATCAGCTGATCAGTAATGTTGTTCCGGGTAGACCAACTGCTGCATCGTTAGCTCCACTACGCAGTACTCTCAACATGAAGCGTGGCAGTAGGATGACGCTCACACCTCTTCCAGGTCAAACATCTGATACATCATCCATCCTAATGTACCTCAGTAACACAACCAAATAACAAGTGTTCTAAATAACGATTCCATAACCAATAGAAATATATTTCACCATGGGAGTTTCCTGTTTGGAGAGAATAATTAGAACTTGGTGAATAATAAACCCAAAGTACCCGTATGATAAACACAGACAATCTACTCACTTTTGCCGCACAAATGCTAAATACATGTCCAACTGACCTGAGTGTTAAGTCACCTCGAAACACATCTCCGAACAGTACATAATAGCAAAAGGAAATATTTAAATATCTTGAAACCGAATTTCAAAATGAGGTGATTGTGTTTCAGCGTAAATTATTTTAATAATTAATCAAATGTTATTATTATTCTGTAAGTTCAATAAAAGAAGTGACGTACTCTGTGACAACAGTGGGGCGCTATGTTGTTCAGAGACGTGTGTCCAGATAGTGAGCTTTACTCTCATGTATAGACCTGGTAAAAGATAAGCACAATCTCGGTACAGATATCGCCACAGCGTACCTAGGGTTATTGGCGAGTCTGATTACATGTTATATGAATGCCCTTACAGCCACACATATGCATCATGTCGCTAGTCCATAGCGAAACTGACACATATCACGCTGAAGTGGCAAATATGCCGTTTGTAATGAAACTATGACAGTGGAAATTGATGCATACACTTGTGTGGTCAGAGAGATATTCAATCTGGCTGACAGAGGTTGGTGCTACACACGACTTAATTACGTTCTATAGTGGACATTAGCATTGGATGTTTAGCTTTTATCTGGAGGGTATTCCATTACACAGCATTAGTGAAACTGACCGTTCGAAATGACCGCGGCCGGTATCTGTCGGCCATATTGACAGGCCAGCAGCGCAGAGACACCAGGCATCCGCCACTATGTCATATAGGTAAATGCATCAAACATCAGTTTTAGCACTGGTGCGTCAAATTAGGAAATGTCCTCCCCATGTCTAGCATAAAACATTTCAAAGCTTTCCTAAGGCCCAGTATCATTACAGACATACCCACACCACAGCTTTGTTAGAAGCACTGGATTGATATCCTTAAACGCATTTTGTTGGTATGTGTATGGGGGTGGTGGGGTAGCCTAGTGGTTAAAACGTTCGCTCGTCACGCCGAAGACCCGGGTTCGATTCCCCACATGGGTACAATGTGTGAAGCCCATTTCTGGTGTCACCCACCGTGATATTGCTGGAATATTGCCAAAAGCGGCGTAAAACCAAACCCGCTCACTCACTCACTCACTCGTATGTGTATGTTCCTATGACATGAACACCTAGACTGTGTCTTCACCACTGTCGTGAAGGTAATCTGTGTAAGATGGTAAACACCTTGTCCTGCATACAAGCATATTGTACACTTGATATTATCGCTATTTGATAGTGATTCAATAATATATGCTAATGACATAGTAAGAATAGCTCAGTGGACTTTACTTTTAGCAAAGTATGTGTATTAATTTGGACATGTTTTTGTCGCTTGAATATAAAAGCTATTGCCAACGCCATTAATCAGTTATGGTTTGCTAAAACTCCGATCCTGATCAGTTCATGTTTCTAAAGGGGCCTCAAAAAGGATTGAAAAATAGTTTTTCGCTCGAAAATACAAGAATTTTATATCGTTAAGCAATTCTTACAGATAAACATGCTCTTGCAACAATCCATACATACTGAACGCCATTCAGTTCTTTTATGACATCATGCATGTACTACTATATCTAATTTCCATTAATCAATGCAACCCGAATGCATCATTGGGCATGTCCAATATGCATGCAGCTGCACTTTAATTACGTTATATCTACCTCATTTGAAGCATGAACCTACTCCTAGCATGCTACAACAAAGGTCACAGAGTGCGATCACATAGTGCGATCACAGAGAAACACGATGTTGGCATGGAGAGTAGAGTGGCACTTTTCACCTTTAAAGAGTTTTTTCAGCAACACAGGTTCTAAGTATCAATAGTTTCAACAGTGGACATAATTTAGCATCAATTATTCTAGCCGTGGGCATGATTAGGAATAATTTATTTCAACAGTGGACATGTTTATGTCAAAAGTTTGTACAGTGGGCCTTTTTTAAGTGCAAGTTTTCTTTAATTTGAACCTGTTAAGATACCAACCTGCAGTTGGCCTGTTTAGCTTTCAATCGATTTACAGTAGACCTGTTTAAGTATCAGTAGTCTTCTATTCTATTTAGGTATCAGTCTTATGTTTAGTTTAACAGGTTCAATATTTAGGTATCAATGTTTCTGTATAGTTTAACATGTTCAATATTTAAGTATCTATGTTTTTGTATAGTTTAACATGTTCAATATTTAGGTATCAATGTTACTGTATAGT